TGTGCATGTGGTTGCAGTACAGCCTCCTGGAATACGTCTCCATGCCGATAAATTCTGCTAGTATCCAGAAACAGGACCTCCGATACCTGGAGTAAGACTTAACTGCATAAAACGAACGTCATGGTATGGAGCACGATTTTAGAAGATACATGGCTGATGGACGATATACGACTCTTCGTTCCAGAGGGTGATGCACGAATCAGCCTCGTGTAGTGAACATGGCCACGGCCGCCCACTACGCTTCTGCTCAAACATCCCTTTGGCGTACCTACAAACGCCAAACTAATATTATAGAGAAGAACTTCAGAAGCGCAGTAGACGTTAGTTTAATGCTATTTCAAATAGCAGCTCGTAACAAGATACAAACAAGAGGTCGTAACTGCTAGCTCACTAGTCGCCGAGTAGATAACTATGCATTGTTAAGAGCAGGTAGATGATAGACTTCTATAACATGCGTTGCTACTACGTTTCTGTTCAATAAACATTGCCATCACACGGTGTTGCTTAAGATGAGACTTTCCTGCAGCCACCGCCATACTCCCATTTGTAGTCCGGCACCATGCAGTGCCCTCAAACTGTCAATGCTTGCTCGAAAAGCAAGCTATACCAAAGGACTCCCAACTAGTATTGACCCATCGATACTCGTGTGTATCCTCCACGCAAACAAGGTCTGGTTGACTCGAAGAACGCAGAAGGCCTTGTCTTTGTCATACTACTAGTGTCAAAGGGGCGGAGTTGCCTTGTTTGTGGAGCGGATACCCATCGATACTGGCTCTTTGGCGTGAAAGATCCTGTTATGGATGTCGACGGCTGTTGTTTTGGGCCCGTAGCACCAGCTCCGGATGTTGTAATACATTTCGTAGGACTAGACGGTGCTATCGATTGTCACGATGTTGTCGTCCTTCAGATTGGAAGGTGGGTTGATGACATGATGGCATGGTCGCTCCTTCCTTCCTTCTTCAGGATCCGTGCTACGGCCCCGGGGAGCTCTCTGGAGGCCGTCCGGCTGCGCTGCAACCAACATCGACTGCCAACGTCTTCTGAACACTGCACGTCCGCATCTCGCTACGTTGTTAACGCTCTGCGCAGCATGAGGCCGCTTCTCAGGCCATGGCAGCATGTGGTCTCGCAATGTGAACGGTTCCCCCATGTTTCTGCCCGGGGAAGGTTTCGTGTTCCCGAGGTCGAGATCATGATGCGCTACTCTCCGTTCCATCTAGCGTCTTGGCGCGGACATCTAGCGTCGTGGCGCGGGGCACCGTGTGCAAGACAATATTGCTCATCAACACCAGAAAGAATAGAGTGCGCCTTTGACTCAGACTGCGGTCCAGCCCATTCATCAACACCAATGCTTGCGCCGATAGCGACCTTGTGATCACGATGCAGTAAGCACAGCGTAGTTGTCTGGAACAGTGAAAACGTCCTCATGTAGCATGACCTGCGACGCTTCCGGCCAACTCGGCAAGCCAGTCGCTCTCTGTACGGCATGACGACGGAGTCGTCCTTGCTAATCCGCGTTGCGGTTCCTTGTCCAGGTGTGCAACGTCGATGTTGTACCTTCTCGTATTGCGTTCTACGAAGTCCAAGGCTTCTGATTGCGAATCGGCAAGGCTGATCCCTTCATCGAAGAGTCTCGACTCTGGCGTCGGTTTGTACACGTCTGGCATAGTAGGCGAGGCTTCTGTATCCATCACCGGGATTGCTGGTTTCACTTACGGATCCTCTCCGCCACCATGAGCAGACTGGCAGAAAAGTGAAGGCATAGCCTCATCGGTGCGATTGCGAGAGTATGGCGATCCAGGCTACGTCATAGGCCGTGAGTAATCGGGAACGCAACACCACATTGACCGAGCCGCTAAATCACACGCGGAGCTCTCAATGTTAGACGGCCCACGCACACTGTACGTCGCGCTCATTGCGGGGTACGCTAATGCAGGCACTCCCGAGGTCGCGCTCCTTGGGTGCCCCTCGGTCCTCCGCGACGACACCACCAACATTAGATCACGACGCATCACCACCAACGTCACCCTCCAGATCTTCTGCAGAAATCGCGCTGCTCGTCTTGTCCGGCTTGCGCGATGAACCATCAGACGCGACGATCATCGGCTAGCCCTTCCACCACGCACGTCACGACCACCATTCCATCAACTACGGGCGACGGCAGCCGCTGATCAACGCGTCGCAGGCGCCATATCTCGTCCGAAGTGGACATGCTTGTATAAACCGGGACATGCACCACGCTTCGCTATTAGTGAAAGACGTGGCCAGCTCGCTTGGGTCCGACACGCCGTCGCGTCTGCCGTTATGGGCCGAAGCGGGAGCCACTTCAATGGTTTGTATACCTCCGGAAGGGACGCTTCAGACCTGGGCGGGCAACGACGCGCTCCGGTAGCTTGAATCACCCCGGCGCATCGCAAGACACAACGCTACTTCCTCTTTAGTCTCACAGCACACAGGCTTGTTCCCCTTGATATTTCTAGCGTCATTCCCGTCCTATTCAGAGGGCGCGTCGCTCCGAAGACCCCAAGCATGCCCACCAGCGCACGGCATGTCCTAGAGTCCACGCTACCCCTCGCGAAAGACCACGCCACTTCGCGTCATTGACAACATCGAGAACACCCGACGGTGCACATTCGTGTCTGCAACGAGATGGACAAGGCTCAGACACACGGTCGCTCTCGTAGCCCGTCAGACATCCGCTGCTACGGCATGGCGGTCCACTGCGATAACTTCGGGTCGCCCGACCACTCTTTCCGGTATATTGGCCTTCATCCATCGCAACATGGAGTTGATGACGCCCAGTTGGCCACGAGCCTTTGGCGTGGAGCTACTCGATCGGTCGCTCAGCTACAGGTCTTGACTAAAACCTCACGGTAGCGGATGACTGTGTACCCAGAACGCGGCCTGATGTACACTGACTCGACCACTCTCACCAAGCCATTCACAACGAGTCCCAATGAACCAGACGAACACGCACAATGTCGGCGGCTTGAAGGCTTCCCGGCGCATCGCCCCCACCAACGGAGCAGCCTTCATTGTTGCTATCGCTCTTCACGCGCCCAGGGTCGAAGCACATCATGGAACAGGGCAGCATTGCTAGCGGACATTACCGGTGAGGAGGCATGGATCTGACGCTGTTGCTCTGCCCGACTGGCCAGCCACAAGGGTGTCGGGGCTACTGTTTGCTCCTCCAAACAGTCCGACGACACATGCGACAGCTCAAGCTCAAACTCGCGACCGTATCAGCAGCACGTGTCGGTCGCGACCATGTACATAACACCGCCCTCCTTTCCGCACATCCCCGGGACGCCGACTCGCGCACGAAACACATTCGCCGCCGCCAGCCCAACGGGGGAACACGGGAACTTGGAGAGGGAGGAGCCCGGGGCCATACCTTTTACGCGTCTGGACCCTGCCATTGCGTGGACGCGATCAGGGGGACTGTCACAGGTGAAGCAACCAAACACCGGTCTCGCGATTAACGCATAGCCAGCACCTGTGCCGCAGCAATCATAGTGTTGGATTCTGAAAGACACGAATGACCTGCATCCGAGTCTCGAGAGTGAGCGACTCCTTCAGCAACACGGTCGCCCTGGACATTGCAGCTCGATAGGTGCGCGAGAACATCGCCAGAGGCATCGAGCGGCCCGGCGTACGTCTCACCACGAAGGCTCTCGAATGGGATGCTGACCTCTCCAGCCTTGAGCACCACTCCGTCTCCAGCACCACTTCGCGATTCCCCCGTCCCATCGCTTCACCACTCAACGCACGTCTCCTTATCGCCCACACTCCAGACACATCATGAGCGAGTCGCGCCGTGGTGAATATCTGGTCACAACCTCCACTGGCATGAGCAGCAGGAAGGCCTTGCCGAGACTCCATCGGCCCCGGTCCGAGTGGACCCCATCCCAGCTCTTGAATACGGTTGTCGCACTGCAACGGCCCCGTGTCCAGGCGCGTCGTTCCAGCCCGTTAGCGGTCACGAATGACAGCAGGGCTATGAGGATACCCTGGAAAGTCTTTGCGAAGTACTAGCAAGCACCGGCTAGCGGAACGCGATCTCGCTTTCTCTGGTGAGTCTATGCGTGGAACCAAGTGCGACATGTCACTCCGCCACTCGCCTCGACCAATCTCACCGATCCGCGAACAATGGGCACGAGCCTGCTTGGACCCAAACTTCTACGGCAACACCAGATCGTGTGTTCCACTTCACACCGGATCCGGCGGTAGCTAGGTGGATTACACCATCATAACTCGAGCAGCGCCAGGCTTTGTAGCCGATAACGCGGCAGAAGGCCTTCGTAGAGCTCTAGCGACCGAGCGTCGTGGTTCTCTTCGCGCAAAGGCTAGCTAGCAATATGGTCGTGGAACGGGCCATTTTCTCTCTGGGGTAGCCGACAGCTTATTGCACCATGATCGTGCTCATCCCTCCACATCCACAGCTTGTCGTCGCATGGCGGCAGCTCAGTCTCATTGCGACAGTGGCGGCCCCATTATATGGCGCGATGATGACACAAGTCCAGCCGAACGTTGAAGGATCTAGGAGCTCACCTGTTGCCTCTTGCAACTGGAATCTGTAATGCTACGGGCTCGAAGCCGTCAATTGCATGGATCCGCGCCGTGCCACAATCTTTTGCAGCTGGTGCAGCTGCAAGAACAGCCCTAGAGCTCTCGAACGCGCTGAACCCTCCCATCCTCTTCTACGTACATCTCACTACTCTTCATTTCTCTCCTTTGCGTCGCTGTAGTTTTCTCCGTGACTGTGTGAACTGGCTTCTGATTAATCTCACTTGCCTCCAAATGGCTTCCTGAGGCTCACACATTACATTCGCTGCCCGTCAACTAGGGTTAGCCCTAGAGGGCCTCGCGGGCGCGCTAGCCCACCGACAGGGCGCGGCGCTGTTGCCTAGCACCGGAACTAAGAGTGCTGCTACTCCCAAGCCACCGAGCACACAATCTGCGATTGCGAACTGAACCTTGAACCCGCGACACTCTCCGCCATGCGCGTGACAAGGTCCATGGCGAGCAGCGAGCAGCTGTTACCTTCCTCTGCGTCCAATCGGCCCCTCGATCAACCCTCCTCACAAACCCCGACGCTACCAGTGCCATACCTCTTGTCCAAACCGAGATACCATGAGATTTACGACTTCATCCAGGGACTTCGCGACGGCAAAGATTCGGTCGAGTACGGAGATCATGAGTTCGCCGTCGCAGTTCGACCTCAAGACTGGCCTTCACTGCGAGATGAGCTGTTCGAACCAGGAGTGGAGAGCGAGAACCTGAGCCGGGACACTGCTGGTTGGGCAGGCGACAAAGTTTACTACAACTACGATGACCGCAAAAGATCTCTTACCATCAAAATGTGCGGTTACGCGCTTTACTCTTCGGTCAAGGGAAACCTTGGTTCCCGGCTGTGTGAGAAATTGGCCGGTGTAAAGAAAGACGTGGAATTGAGTGTAAGCATCCTTGATCCAGATCATAGAACGCTTACATGCTCGATCATCGATGATATCAACTTTGTCGGCCGATTCCAAACATATATTGGTCGTCAGTCCCTTCGCACGCCTTGCATCGCTTTCATCTACGCACACAAGAATCTTCCAGCATTCGTCATTGAGATTTCGCATGGTCACATGGATCTCAGACGAGCAGCGCATGATTATATAGCTCGCAGGAAGGGTAAGTGTCATTGCTTGTAAACTACGTGTGGGATATACACTGACATCAAACACCAAGTTGCAGGCAGTACCAAGACATTCGTCGGGATTGAGTTTGAACATCGTACGCCTGAGCAATAACGCGTGTTGCGCGAACAGCCTCACTGGGCCACCTACCAAGTGTTTCGTTTCCGTGTCAAGGACAAGAACCTGGCGGTTGTAGACGCTGGCACTCGTGTCAAGTTCCGAGATGCTAATGGTGTCATCTCGCCAAACGCCAAAATCCCGTTCTCTGTAGCCGACTTTGTAGCCGATTCTGCGCAGCCAGATACGGTCGATCTTCATGCTCTACAGCTGGACTTTACGCACCAAGAGCTTCACGACGTCTTCTCATACGCAGAAAAGTTTTCACGCATCGTAGACGAGTATAGCGACAAGATGCGTTCTGAAAGGAGGCAGGAGTATGAATACGCGGAACTGAGCGATGCGGATAGTGATTCCAACACTTCTGATTCTAAGGATGTCGGCACCGATGGGAACAACAAGGACCAGGGCGATTCTGATATCCTCAGCCATGTCGATGAAAATCTCAGCGAGCCTGGCAGCCCCAGTGCCACGATTGCCACTTCACCGGCCCCTGCACGTGGCTCACCCCCTCTCAAGAAGCGGAGGCGCGATGGTCCTGGCAACATACAGATTGGCGAGATCAGAAAGAGCTGAAGGGTGGTTGGACCCTCTGGGTCGGGCGTACAGCCTCTCGCGCGTGGGTCATAATCACGCTTATAACCCTACTGGCTCGTCATCAAGGCGGCCTCGTACACGCTTCTTTCTGTTACACGATACCTAGAGTTCGACTTGAGCTCAAAAGGCGCGACTCGCGGATCATGAGGTACCTGATACCATGACGGCATTGTCACAGAAGTTTAACTTTCATATGATATCGCGGTGTCCACATACGATGGGTGACTTCCACAACGCAGTCCATGACGTGCGCATCAAGTGACAATCTCTTTCTCATCCCTTCCATCATTTAAACGGCGGATTCAGTCATCGTGTATCTCGTGTGTGTTGCGGGAGTCATTGCGACACCGACTTCTACGAACAAGTCTCCTTTTCAACGATAAATTGCTCATGACATGTAGATGTGAGCCTGGCACGATCTTTGCCCCGTTACCAAGATGTGAAGGCTGAGCTGTCACATGCTTATCGGTAACGGCAGTGGAGACAATGTTGATCAACGCCATCATATTGTTTACGCTCTACTCATAGACAATTTTTATGATTGGTGACAAAGAAGTAGATGCATAGACTGAAGGAGATCTTGAGCTAGAGGGAGAAATTCGACAGAGAGCCTACGTTCCAGGAGAGTACTGGAGCAAAGACAAGAACCTGAATCGAGTTCTGCGCTTGCACGACAGAAGACGCGATAGTATCACAAGAATGGCTCAATGGAAGCCGACGCCAATCGAAGGAAGGAGCTGGTCGGATCAAAGAGTCATGACGCCACGAATTCACGAATGCTTCACTGATAGGGACTGAGAAGGTACTAGGATCTTAGTCATCGCCATCAGCGGTTGATGAGCTCTCCAGTGCGCGTACAAAAGCGACTGCACATAGGCCAGCATCATACACGACAGATGTTACACGACATGTATCGAAGACCCTGTGTCGTGGTCGGCGACAGCGTGTCGACACGCAAACCGTAGACATCTCCTCCGTGCCTCCATATGAAAAGAGTCGACTTTGCCTTGCTAGCATACTTGAAGCGTAAAAAAGAAAGGGTTTTGCTGCATTAAGCAGCACTAGGACGTGGTGGTTGGCTTTGAACAAACAGTCCTGCGACGGGATGAAGAGCTTACCGCGCGCCCCATCGTTACTTGCGCATCCAGCCGACGTCGTTTGAGAGCGCTGTCCGGAACGAGAGCACACCTGTCAAGCCAGACGCCCCGCTTTCCAAGCGTCACGAACTCTCTCCAGATGTCTGATGAGCTGCCCAGACTCTGCTTCACCTACAGGCTTTGCACCCATCCTGCCACGACTCCCGTGATTTGCACAAAGATGGGGCATGACATGGTCGTGCTCATATCGTGGTCGTGATGAGGGCATACCGTGCGTCGCAGTGCTTGAAGCGGAGGTATCATGTAGTCTTTGTCGGGTGCGGCAATCGAGAGCTGGCTGCGGGGATACGGACGGGCATGTAGGGATACTCGTGTTGGCATATAAGCACGCAGCGGCGTGTGATGTGAATGCGGGCAAAGCGGCGGGTTGCATGTGACAGCAATCGCGCAAACTGTAAGGGAAAGCAGTTACATGGAGCATCCGTCGGCGAAGACGAGACCGAACACAACACGTGTTCCTGCGATCCCAACGACACACCTCTACCTGAGCGAAGGTCTGCCGAGTCCAGCGTCCCAGAGTCTATCTCTTATGACCGCCAGTTTCTCCAAGGTGTGCTCCGATAACTACTGTGCGGCTCTTACACCGATCGCGAAGGCGAGAATCTCGCTTATTGGAAGACTGGGATCGATATGCTGCGAGCAGTATTTCTAGCTCTACAAAGCTTTGCATTAGATCAGCTACATAACATTGGCGAGAAACTGGCTTCCCTAGATAGCGCCTCGAACCTCTCTCGCAACTATTGGGTTTCCACCTCTGCTTAAGAACTTGGTACTTTCCTTAAACAAGGTCGTGCTCTGAACGCGCATACACTGACTTTGCGGATCTCTAATACCTTTGAACGTTTCTAAGATGCTGAAGCAGCTTTCCTTCGCTTCGCACAGCACTGCGAAGTGAGTTTGATGTACTAGAATTAGCAGATTCTTGGCGGTAGTACTCTAGAGATGACCGCTTAAGACTTTTGTAAGCGATACGAAGATCGCATGTTAAAGGAGAAGCGCGCGACCTCTGACGAGTTTAGAAACTTTTTGAGTATCTCTGGAGCAGCTCTGGAGTACGTCGTACTAGGGCTAGACTTTCTTTGGGACCTTGAATACAGCTTGCTTAATGATCTTAAGGTTTAGGTTTATCTTGACGAATAATCTTAGTTTAGACTAGCCGGAGGCAAAGAGACAAAGACGCGAATAATTGACTGCGAGGCTTGCCTTTAGTTCGTCTTGTATGGAGAGCGGTTTTCATTCTCTGGGTGGCACCTGGATGTACTAAATGGAACATGGCTGACAACTATCACCGGCTTCCGTGCCTGGTTTATATATACTGGACTATGTACTGAGAAGGAACAGAAGGAACTAGAAACCTCGGGGGCATAGTGGAGACTAGCTGCTGAACATGTTGAAATTATTCTTCTCCGCCCCGGCGACACCCTTATTATGAGACCTGGTCATCCGGTAGTACACTGCGTCCTTACATTGGACGACTCTATTGCACGAGGAGGCATGATTTGGTCAGCAGCCGACATCGGCAGAACTATCAAGAACATCAATTACATCATCCAGTCGCCAATGGCCACAAATGAAGACATACCTCGGCAATTCTGCAATTATCTGGATGCGCTGTATCGTCATGTTCAGGAGGGGACACCAGCAAATACGAGCGCGAAATACGCACGTCGATTACAACATCCGGTGTACTCTTCTAGCGACCTGGAAAGCATCGCAAACCTTATCAAGCAGCTAAAGGACCGCAAAGTTCTATGTTGCGCTTGTGCAAAGACATGTAAAATCCCGTCGCAGAAAGACTTTGACCGTTCGGAGAAGTTTGTGAAGCAGGGCAATGACGAGAAACGGAAAGAGGATCAGAACAGATTTTGTCCGTGCTGGTGTTCTGGAGAACGTGTTCATGCTCGGGGCTGCAATAGGTGGTGTCATGCAAAGAAGAAGCTTGCTTGCATGGTGTGACGGAATGCATTCGGATCAGTGCGCGAATGCTCGTAGATAAAGATGCTCAAACCACTAGACTCATCGGGTAAAACATACGACCGCTCGTTGTGAAGGTGCTTCGTTGCCGGCCTAGTGCCTGTCAGAACCTTGGAACGCTTCCACGTCACGATATTCGCCATTCGACCGTTGGCGCCACTGGGCTCGTCGCCTGCAACTTCCCTGTCCGTTCGCACCTGTCTCTGCCTCACGCGTAACCATGTGGAAGGTGATGGAATCTTCGTCTCCCGAGATATTGGTGTGGTGTAGAAGCTCATCTTCACTCTCATCGCCAAGGTCGATGTTTCGCGGATCAAAAGTACTAACGTAGACCAGTAGTACGGACTGATCAGCCTCATATCTTTCGAAACAACGTACTGGTTGCGGACGAGCGTTTCCCTGCCCCCGATCTTCCTGACCCGCCATTGTCTGCTTCTCTCCACATTGGCGCGGCCTGAATCTCGATAGACCGCCGTTGCGATGTTGCGCGGGTCGGCGTCGACGCTTGGCGGTTGCATCAGCGCCGAAGCCTGCTGACCACAGCTTGGTTGTAGCCCGGACTTACGTCGACTCGAGTGTCTGAGATGCCGCTGCCATGGGCGTTCTGAACACGCTCGTGCTTGACCATGGTAGCGGGTCATCCTTCGACGCTGTGAGTGTGCGCGGACCCGTCGTCTGCCATCAAAGAGCTTGAGAGGTGGGGTGAAGTCAACCAATAGGAGCCAAGCTAACCTCCGGGTCCATCTGGGTGGGCTACCAGTGCGGAACCCCCCCACGCCTGATTTGTTCTCTGTCTTTCGCGCTCGAGCCTGAGGGATCTTTTCGTCACATGTTGGACGGCAAGGTGTATTTGCTACGATGCTCATGTGTTGGCGTTCGAGCGCTGCGCAGCATCTACCCCATTCTGAAGACTCCGATTTACAGTTTAGCGGCTGGCCCGCGCGGCCCCGCGCTGACCGCGAACGCCTCAAGCCCGGACACAGGTCCAGGCACTTGCCTGATATCCATCATCCGTCCATTGCTTTGCTACTTCACAGCGTCCTTTATCATATGGCACACCCTGCTCGCGACGCGTCAGATTGCGAGAATTCCATCTGGTCAAAGACCCACTCACAGCTGACACGATAAGGCGATCACACGGCGCTGGAATGGACTCTCGTTCGTCTGTACTAGCCCACACAGGTTTCGCATGAAGAGTATTATCATCTGTTGGTAAACTGCGAATGGGCGTCGCGTTGATGGCACACAGTACCAAAGTGTCCCTTTAGCAAAAAATCGAAAATGTTAAAATATCGGCCGGGGGCTTAGCGCGCTAAGCCCTACAAAATTTACTATCTAATCGCGAGTAGGCTGCAGGGGCTCTGCACCTTATACTTATCCTTATATATATATACTGTTGCTTGCAACACAAACTCGATGAATTCAAAATACGTTGGTAAACTGGTCTCGCTTTTTTGGGTATGGTAATGTCGTATGCCGAATTGAACTCTCGATCCACTACGCAGGAATTCTATTCTCAACGCTAATCGCAGTCCCAGACACGAGCCCTCTCTATGAACAGCTGCAGTCTCAAGCCCCGAGTCTCCCCACAACGATCACTGGGTTCGTACACCCACAAGCGAGGATGCGGCAAAGCGGACATCCCGCATGGGCGGTCATTGTGGAACTAGTGCTGGGGGGCTCTTTGCCTAGGATAAGCCACGGTTCGATACCCCTTGATGTCATGAACGTATCTCGCTGTGGAGACATATCTTGCTGGGCGATTAGTTTATGAGCTGTTCACGCTGTCCAACGAAGGTGGTTCTCGGTGTCATATGCCACCACATGACGAGGACGAAGAAAGCCCGC